CTCACTAAGTTGCCCAGGCTGGCCTCAAACTTCCGATCCTTCTGCCTGAGCATTCCAAATAACTGGGATTATAGGTGTGTACCATTGTGCCCAGTTTTAATTTTTTTAAAAAATCCAATTCTATGTAATTTATGAGACATACCTAAACACATAGAGTCATGAGAAAAACAAACCACACATAATAATCATACAGATTAGATTATAATAAAAAAGTTTCAAGTATAATGTATAATGACAAAAATTTCAATTCATCAGAAAAAACATAATTCTAAACTCTAATGCACCTGATTAATAATTTCAAAATATAAAAAAGTAAAAATAGAAATACCATTAGAAAGTGATAAATTCAGCATAATGAAGGTTTTTAATACATCACTGTAAAGTACTGATAGGTTAAGCAAATATTAATGAAATAGCAAAATGGAACTTTTTGGAACCCACAGTGGCTGGGGTTATGGCTCAGCCATAGAGCACTTGCCTAGCACGTGGGACGTCCTGAGTTCAATCCTCGGCATCACATAAAAATAAATAAATAAATAAATAAACCAAAGGTATTAAAAAAGAAAGAAAGAAGGCTTAACAAAACAAAACATTTGTCACAAAGAAAGTCTCAAAAATATAGCAGGTGGGCTGTGGTTGTGGCTCACTGGTGGAACACTTGCCTAGCATATGTGAGGCACTGGGTTCGACTGTCAGCACCACATATAAATAAATAAAAAAAAAATACAGGTCCATCAACAATTAAATAAAAACATAGCAGGTGACATACGGATTATATTCCATTAACTATAATGCATTAAAAATAATTAACTACCAGACTAAAAATCAAACTAAAAATCATTCCACACATTGAGAAGTTTAAGAACATACTGCTAACATTCAAAGGAATTATAAAATTTAAAATACTCGAAATTGAAATAGTAGGCCCCCTTCCTTCCCCTTTGCCCTATCTAAGTTTCCTCCATTTCTCCCATGCCCCCACCCCCCATTCCCATTATGGATCAGAATACTCATATCAGAGAAAACATTCAGCATTTGGTTTTTTGGGATTCGCTTACTATACTTAGCATTATATTCTCCAACTCCATCCATTTACCTGCAAATGCCATGATTTTGTTTTCTTTTAATGGTGAGTAATATTCCATTGTGTATATATATCACATTTTCCCTATCCATTCATCTACTGAAGGGTTTCTTCAGGTTTTCTTTTCTTTCTTTCTTTTTTTTTTTTTGAGACAAGGTCTCACTATGAGATATCCTTGAACCAGGATGTCCTTGAACTCTAGAACATTCTACAAATTAATTTTTAGTATAGGAGAATTTAGCAAGGTGGCTGCATCAATTACAGTTTTAAAATGTTTTTTAATATCTTTATTTTTTTGTTGTTTTTATGTGGTGCTGAGGATCGAACCCAGTGCTTCACATGTGCAAGGCAAGTGCTCCCCAGTCTTCAATTACATTTTTATTCAGCAGGAATAAACAGATTCATAGCATACATTGTGCACGTGCGCACACACATACACACACACACACTTATTTAAAATGCAATAAGTACGTGAATGCCTTTACAAAAGAGCTTAACAGAGGGAGTTTGGCTCCTTTTTGCTCTTCTATCCTTCTGCCACATGAGAGCACAGCATTCATCCTCTTCAGAGGATGCAGCAACAAGGTGCCACCTTGGAAGCAAAAACCAGGCTCTCATTAAACACCAAACCTGCTAGTGCCTTGATGTTGGATTCCTAGCCTCAAGAACTATGAGAAATAATTTCTATTCTTTGTAAATTACCAAGTCTGAGATATTTTGTTGTAGCAGCCCAAATGACTAACACGGATCTCTCTCTCTTTTCCTTTTTTTTGGTGTTGGGGATCTAAACCCAGGGATGCTTTACCATTAAAGTATATCCTCCCCCCTTTAAAATTTTTATTTTGAGAAAGGGTCTTGCTCAGTGACTGAAGGGGGCCTCGAACATGCAATCCTGTCTTCAGCTGCCAGAATTGCTGGTAACAGGTGTGCCACCATGCATGGCCTAACAACATAGATCTCTACCTCACTCCAAACAGAAAACTATTCCAGAGACAACTATAAGAAAATAAACTTTGTGCTGGGCATGGTGGCGTATGCCTGTAATCCCAGCAACTAAAGAGGCTGAGGCAGGAGGATTTCAAGTTCAAAGTCAGCCTCAGCAACTTAGCAAGGCCCTAAGCAACTTAGCAAGACCCTGTCCCAAAATAAAAAAATAAAAATAAAAAGGCCCAGGGATGTGGCTCAGTGGTTAAGAGCCCTGGGTTAAATCCCCAGTAGTTAAAAAAAAAAAAGAAAGAAAGAAAGAAAAGAAAGAAACTTTCCAGTAAGGAAGACTTTTTAAAGATAAAAAGTATTATCTAAAAAAGCAAAAGACTAATTAATAAACTGGCATTTAAATTAAGAATGCCTATTAATTAAAAATGTAGAAATTATTTTAATATTTTGATGAATAGCAAAACAACTGTTGAAGATATGAAAAAAATTCTTATAAATCAATAAAAAAGATAAATGACCTAAAAAATTAGGTTAAAGACATGCCTATTATGCTCTGGAGTTATTAATGCTCTAGTTTAGTGGCATCTAAATATAGTCTACCAACTAATTTTGTAAATAAAGTTGTACAGGAAGACAACCACATTCATTAATTTGTGTATTTTCTATGAGTACTTCTGAACTACAATTATAGGAGTTAAGCAATTGCAACATAGACATCATAGCTAACAAATCCCAAAATATTAACTATTTGGCCCTTTCTTAGGAAATGTTTGTAGCCCCTGCTTTAATTGTTTTTAAATCACAGATGTTGATTTGATCATGCTTTTTTTTTTAAAGAGAATTTTTTTAATATTTATTTTTATCGGCGGACACAACATCTTTGTTTGTATGTGGTGCTGAGGATCGAACCCAGGCCGCACGCATGCCAGGCGAGCGCGCTACAGCTTGAGCCACATCCTAGCCCCTTGATCATGCTTTATAAGCTATATCTTAAATATATTTTTATATATATAGAAAATATATCATTAAATACTTTTTGGACAGAATTTCTCTGTATATTATATTAATTTGGAAATTATAAATGTTCATGATAAATACTGGCTTTTCTCTGTTTCATTATTGTTTATGTATAACTCAAAAATATAAACAAACAAAAAACTGAAACTTTTAACATGCATCTGGTTCTTATGAACACAGAACAGCACTAACGAACCAATAAAATGAATACCTGAAAAGATTAACAGGCTTAATATTTAATTTCTTGTAAAATGTGCCTGTTTGAAAAGTATACTATTCACCCAAGTAATTTTCCTTCCCTTTTAATATGTATTTTTCTTTCAAGATCCTAGCCTAAAATAAAGTCACACAACTAAATGATTGCCTTCCTCTGCAAAAGAAAAATCATTCACCAACCACAGAAATTTGCTTTAGTAATGTACTTAAGGGATATTACATAATCAGAGGTTAACTAAATTGCTGTTGCAAAAGTTTATCAATCTAAACAGCTGATCCTTACTGAATTAGCAAATCCACAGCACAAGGAAGTGGTGGAAGAAGACGCTGAATTACTTCCTCAGTAAGGAGATCACCACAGTAGGAAACAAAGCTCTTGATAGCTGAAAAAGAGAACAGACTTTAACTCAGCACAGCATAAGTGACCATGAAAAGAGCACTTGATTATGGTACAGCATAAGCAATTTTATTAGCAGAATAAGAAATGCACCAAAAACAAAAATATTACTAAAATTCTAGTATAAAAAGAAATCTAGAATCTGCCACTTCTTTTTTTAAAAAAATATTTTTTTTTAGTTATAGATGGACACAATACCTTTATTTTATTTGTTTATGTGGTGCCTGGGATGGAACCCAGTGCCTCATGCATGCTAGGCAAGCACTCTACCACTGAGTCACAACCCCAGCACCTAGAATCTGCCACTTCCAATCACATTCGATGATGATGATGAAGCTAATAATAACAACCTTCCTAGAATTACTAAAAGAGACTAATAACTAAATTGATAAAATATTGCTGTCCTGGGGTTTTACTAAGCCCTAGAGCTCAGAAGTAAAAAAAAGAAATTAGCTTAGACTAGTTCTATAGAATCATGTTGACTCAAGTCATCATGTTAGGATTTCTACAGATGTCACCTGAAACAAAGAACTTTTTATTGGGAGTTACTTCCTATGAGGAGAAAGTATTTTAAAGTTAGACTGAGTTTTAAGATCAAATTCAAAGTTGGGTTTTCTTTTTTAAGAATAAGATGCCATCAGACTGCTTCCTAATCTTTCCAGGGAACCTATCCTTCCTTAGTTCAAATTTTCTGGTAGAATATTATTTTCAACAACATCTACATCCTCAAAGGGAACAACTTTCATATGTGTATAGACTAAATAGAAACCATGCTTTATCACTGCTAATGAAATAAAAAATCTAATATTTCTAAAAAATGGAATAAATATCTGTTTAAGAGAAAGTAATTTTGACAGTTTTCAACTAGACTGCATCTAACAAAATACACATTAGCCTAAGAATTTACAACTTCAAACTTGATTGCTTCATTCTTCAGTTATCATCATGAAATAATCAATTACGGGCTGGAGATGTGACTCAAGCGGTAGCGCGCTAGCCTGGCATGCATGCGGCCCGGGTTTGATCCTCAGCACCACATACAAACAAAGATGTTGTGTCCGCTGAAAACTTAAAAATAAATATTAAAATTCTCTCTCTCACTAACTCTCTCTAAAAAAAAAAAAGAAAAAAAGAAAAAAAAGAAATAATCAATCACCTTCACTTACAAAAATCGTTACAGGCAGGGCTCCCCACCCTCTTACATTAAATGAAACATACAATATACATAGGGTGAAGAAAAGCCAAAAGGGTAAAAAATGCTAAACTCAACCTACCACTCAGTGCACCAGCGCGTCCTTCCAGGGTAACCTGCCAAGTAAATGAATCTCCTCGGCTCTTTTCTGTTTCTAGATCTTTAGGAGATGCTGGAAAGACACACTTCCACAACAGCAGAACTCGAGCAAGGTGATGACTGACAACTGCAGAACCTGCAATTTATTCAACTTGTCACTTATAGAAGAACCCAAAGAGGCTGCTATTTAAAACTATTAATAAGCAGAAACTTCCCTTTTAAAATAAAATAAATACATTTTAATTGATTGTTGTAATACTTTGTCGTTTTTCTTATCTTTTGATTTCACATAAATTTACTACTGTATAAATTACTATCAGCAGGTTCTGGAGTACAGACAGGAAAAACAAGGAACAACTGGTAAAGTCTGGGCTCAGGTGTCAGCTCTTTCACTATTGTGTGTTCCCTTTGAGATTCACTTCATTATATGTATAAAATGAAGCTAATTTCATCTACACTGCTTGTCTACAAGGGTTTGTCAGATACAAATGATAGAATACACTTTGAAGTACATAGAATAACTAGAAAAACTATAATGTGTCACATAATTGGAAGGTACAATTGCCATGTGACAAATTACACTGGTATCCCTGATCTTCAGAATAATATTAACTTCTTCAATTTTGGGTGCTAGAGATTGGACCCAGGGCTTTAGGGGCATGCACACTCTGAGCTACACTTCTATACTCCAATGTTAACTTCTGATAACAACTTGTTCCAGACCCCAAAAACAAAAGAAAAAACAAAAAACCCAGATGTAAAGTATCTGAATAGAATTATCTCTTAAAAAATTTCACAGCAACAACTTTAATAAACTGAGGTATCATGAATACAAGAATCCAATAAGAAAAGGCAATGAATGATAATATTATTAAGAAAAAAGAAAAAGAGGGCTGGGCATGTGGCTTAAGCGGTAACGCGCTCACCTGGCATGCACGGGGTGCTGGGTTCAATCCTCAGCACCACATAAAAATAAAAATAAACATGTTGTGTCCACCAAAAACTGAAAAATAAATATTAAAAAATTCTCTCTCTCTCTCTCCTCTCCCTTTCTTTCTTAAAAAAAAAAAAAATTAAAAGAAAAAAGAAAAACAGGCAGCATAAAAACCCGAACCCACAGCTTTTTCCTCCAAGTAGTATTCTTTAGTAGAAAAAAGACAAAGTATTGCAGTAGTCAATTAAAATGTATTTATTTTATTTAAATTCTGGGGCTATCTTCAAATTCTCCTACAAACAAGCCCTCCTTTCTTCTTAGCTCCACATTCTGCTACCTGTAAATCTTTCTTCTTCAGTAGAACAAAATACTTAAGAACTGCAGTGGAGTTTGGAGGGAGACTGACTAGGTTAATATCCTATTTCTATAAACTTATTAGTTGTGCAAACTCGAATGAGTAACTTAACTTTTGGAGGGCCTGTTTCCCCATCTTGAAATGGGGATAATAACAGTATCTACCATACAGGAGAGTTTCAAGGCTTATCTGCATTTACATGGGATAGTGCTTTGTTCATGTTTGTATAATGTTTGACATGCAATTATCATTAAAAATTTTGCCTTATTATTATTTGGTACCAGGAATTGAACTCAATGAGCTTAACCACTCAGCTACATCCCCACACCTTTTCTATTTTTAGTTTGAGACAGGGTGTTGTTAAGTTAATTAGGGTCTTGCTAAGTTGCTGAGTCTGGCATTGAACTTGCAATCCTCCAGCCTAAGCCTCTGGAGTCACTGGGATAACAGGTGTGCATCATTATTCCTGGCTTTAAAAATATGTCTTATTTTTAAAGGGAAAGGTGAGCTGAATAAAATGAAAAAGCAGTTGCAAGTAAATTTTTTTTAAATGAATGCAATTTAGAAGATTAAAAAAGAAATTTTCTGTTATTCTTCTGACTTGATTTTTAGGAAGAGGCACTATGCTAATCCCCATAGTAAAACATACAATACTCTTTGCTATTTTTTTTTTCCTTTTTTTGTGGTGCTTGGGACTGAACCCAGGGACGTGCATACACCATAGTGTAGATCTTTACCACTGAGCTATATCCCCAGCCTGCTATATTTTTTGTTTTTGTGTTTTTTTTGAGGTAGTAGTTTAAAAAACCAAAACAACAACAACAAAACAGAATTAGAGTAAAAAAAAGGCAATGAAGAGTAACTGACTGCAAGAGATTTGTATGAATGCATGAGAGCATATGCATGCAGGTTCACACTGATATACACAACAGATTTTAGAAATAGAAAATTCTGAAAGCAAAATTTAATCACATACCAAAAAACAACAACAAAAAATAAAAACAAAAAAGCATGCAGTCATTGAAAGTATCCATAGGTGAGAAAAGTTTCACATATATTTGCCATTATACCTTCCTTAAGATATCTCACTAACTTAATAGTAGACAGCACAGCATCTTTTTCCTAGAAAGATGCTAAGATATTGTCATTTCAGACACATATGAATTAAGTTAGAAAAAAGAGTTCATAGTAATTGCAAAGCTAAAACACCAAGCATTTTTCACACCAAGAATAAAACTGTATTATCACACCAAAAATAAAACTGTATCTATGAAAATATGCATACACACTTGATGAGTTACCCACAGATAAACAAAATATGGAGATATCTGTAGGTGAATTGAAGTTGTTTTATATGGCATCAGGTAAACTGAGAAGTTTAGCAAAGAAAGGTTAAAAAATGGTTGTAGTTCACATTCCAGGAGTAGATTTCATGTGATTTACTTAAGTTGATGTTAATTCACCGTAGTGACTGTATTAAAAATAATGAAGAAAATTATATGTTGTGAAAGTAATGATGAAAATACAAGAACTAGTAAAACTTTAAGGGAAAAATTAATAAAACATTCAGACTATTAGCTAAAATTCACTTCCCTCAAAAAAAGAATCAAGCCTCCTTGAAGAAATGGCCAATGGCAAGCCTGGGACAGGAAATATACGCTAAACCTTGGATGTCTTATCATGTCAAAACCAAGTATTATTAAAGAATTCTAGGTTCATGTAAAAAGGACATGTAATTCAACTTGAAGGGGTTCCCACTGACCAAAAGATGAGAATCAAAAAGAATCATGACTACATTGGATTGAAACATACAAATATAAGTAATTGAAAATTCGTCAAATATTTTAATCTCTCTGTATAGTAATTATAAATATGTAATAAGATACGATGTACTAATATCTTTTTTAAAGGAAAAAGGACCTCTTGTAATCTTCCTCCAATGGAACAACACTGGTTTTAAGAGCTTTTATCAAGTTTAAGAGCATTTATTGATTACTTCTCCTTTAATTCACCACCAGCAATATGGCAGGCATGAAACACACACCAAAGAGATATATGAAACCTTGCTTACATTATACCCATAATACTGTGAAATGATATCTATGCTAGGGGCTAGTAAACATTTTCTGGAAAGGATCACAAAGTAAACATATTAGGCTTTGAGAGTCATATAGTCTTGCAATCACTCAACTCTATCACTATAGCACATAAAGGTCACAGATGATATAAAAACAAATAAGTGTTGTTGTACTAAAATAAAATTTTATTTGTGGGCACTAAAATTTGACTTTCATATAATTTTCATATATCACAAAATATTTCAATTTTCCCCCAACCATTAAAAAAATGTAAAAGTTATTCTAAGCTCACAGACTACTGAATAAAAACAGGTAGCAAAATAAATAAATAAAGTAAGATAAAATAAAACATATGTCAAGCCAGATTTGGCCCTTGGACTGAAACTGGTATAAATCCAATAAATTTCTTTAATTATCTCAAGAATATCTTCATATTATTATTTAAAGTAGTTCTTCATTTATGGTTACTTATTTTTTAATATAAGCTCCCTTTAGATAAAATTACTTCATATTGGGCTGGAGTTGTGGCTCAGTGGTAGAGCACTTGCACAGCATGAGGCCCTGGGTTCTATTCTTAGCACCCACATATAAATAAATAAATAAAATAAAAGATCCATTGACAACTAAAAAATATTTTTAAAAAATTACTTCATATCCAGCTACGTGCAGTGGCACACACCTGTAATTCTAGAGGCTCGGGAGGCTGAGGCAAGAGAATCTTAAATTCAAAGCCAGCCTCAGCAAAAGCTAGGCACTAAGCAACTCAGAGAGACCCTGTCTCTAAATAAAATATAACAAAATAGTGCCGGGGATGTGGCCAGTGGTTGAGTGCCCCTGAGTTCAATCCTCGGTACTAAAAGAAAAAAAACCAAAACCAAAAAACAACTTCCTAACCAGCCAGGTGTCAAAACCATTTATAGGCCAGATCCAACCAACTATATTTCATATCCTACCACTAACTCATACAGTAGAGACTTAAAGATAAGTGTGATAAAATTGTTTTATAGGTATAGGATATAAACAGTCATGACAATAAAGCAATTACTTTTTTTTTTCAATACAAGCTCTGTCATGAGCAGCTTTTTCTTTTTTCTTTAATGTAGTGCTAAGGAGCAAACCCAGTGCCTCACATTTGCTAGGCAGGCACCCTACCACTGAGCCACAACTCCGCCCCCAATTGCTTATTTATTTATTTAGTTGTAGATGGACACAATACCTTTATTTTGCTTATTTAGTTTTCTTATGTAGTGCTGGGATTGAATCCATTGCCTCACACATAATTAGCAAGCGTTCTACCACTGAGCCACGATCCCAGATCCCAACTGCTAATTTTTACTAAATATAATTTAAATAAGCCTCACCCACCCCCTTCAATGTTGTGATATTATTGGGTATCACTAATCCTAAATATATTAATAGTATTGGATTCATGGGCTATGGTAAGTTTTCTTGCTTATCCTTATACAGAGGAAAATTTTTCTTCCTGAACATAGATGTGAAGGACTTTTGGAAATGTCCAAGCTATTGTAAGCCTAAAAAATGACTAAGTTGGTTTGTTCTCCTTAACATTTATAAACTGATCGGAAAAGAGATATGTGAAGCTGGGCATGGTGGCACATGCCCGTATTCCCAGTGACCTAGGAGGCTGAAGCAAGAAGATCAAAAGTTCAAGCCCTCAGACACAGTGGTATACAGCAGCTCAGGAGGCTGAGGCAGGAGTTCAAAGCTAGGCTCAGCAAAAGTGAGGCACTAAGCAATTCAGTGAGACCTTGTCTCTAAATAAAATACAAAAATATAGGGCTGGGGATATGGCTCAGTGTGGCCTCTGATTTCAATTCTTGATAACCAAAAAAAAAAAAAAAAAAAAAAGTTTAAAGCCAG